ATGGAACAGTCCATTTCACTCCAGGATTCATCCAAGGGTAGAAGTGACATTCGGCTAGCTAAGATAACAATCATATCTATCTATCCTCTGCAACAGTAACCCATGAAGGACCAGTCAGTGCAGACATCCAGAGCTTCTCTAATTCTGGGCTGAAAACACAAAATTCTACTGTTTTCTTTCTATAGCCCCAAGAACCCTGTGGAATATGGTCTAACAGAACTGTGCCAATATCCCAGATAAAAAGGACTGTTTGACAGCCAACATAAATCACAGTGAGACCATCCACTCTGAACCATGACAAGTTTGGGGTGTCCCCTGCTTCTCTCCCTGATTTTCTGCTAGTGTAGGAATATTTCCCCACAAGATAGGCTCTGTGCTACCTCTGCCCAGCTCTGCAATGCAGGGGAGGACTGTGCAGCAGTTCTGGACTTCTAGAGCAGGAAAAGATGCGTGATACTGCAGGAGAAACTTGGAGTCTCCCAGGCCACATTCACAGCTTCTTAGGGAATTTGGTGTGCAGTACCTCTCATCACAAGAATCAAGGTTCAGGAATGACAAAATAGAGATTTTATCAAGGTGTTGATAGTGATTATTTTCTGTTGAAAACAAATTTACAAAACGGGAGAGTTTGCAACAATTTACGATGAAGGAAAGGCAGACAAAGAAAATTCCAGATTTCCCTTTTAAGTAGAAGGATTATTTCTCTGGCTTAGCATTGCAGATTGTCCCTGGGGCATTCTACATGTCCTGTCCCTGGAGCCAGGAATGGCACACCTGGGAATGCTTGGATTGTTCCAAGAAGAGGCTGACACAAAGGTGTGATTCCTCACTACCTTTTTGTTGTGTGCTTTCCAGTCAGGAAATTAGCTTCCAGTTTGTTGCTCACCTCTTATAAGCACTTGATGACTGAGCACAACAATACCATAGAAATACTGGAAGGTTGGACATTTCTAGAATAGCTTAATGGATTTGAATAGGTTGGAAAAGCCTTCTAATATTATCAAATTCAACTATTGTCCCAGGACTGCCACTTACCTAGCAAATTCCTACAAGGGATGGGGACTCCACCACTGCCCTGAGCAGCTGTGCCAGGGCTGAGCAATCCTTTCAGGGAAAAAATTTTCCCAATATCCAACCTAAACCTCTGCTGGTGCAACTTGAGGCCATTTCTTTTTGTTATGTCTCTTGTTCCCTGGGAGAAGAGCCTGACACCACCTTGGTCCACCCTCCTGTCAGTTAATTTCTTCCACCCCCAGACTCTATAACTCAAACTTTCCCTTCCAAAACACACAGTGTTAAAATATTTCCAGGCTTGTATCCTGAAAAGGGATCAGATAGGACCTTAAAGAGATTCAGAACTATATTAAGGTGGAACAAACATGACTCTCATTTGGCCTCTTCAGGCAAAGATGGCACCAAATGGACACCAAAGACTAAATTCACTGTGGTTTCTGTTGCCCTCAGCACTGTCGCAGCTGTGGCAGTGTTGGGGAAGGAGAGTTAGAGAAGATAGAAAGGAACTTTTCATCAGGAACTGGAGGGACAGAACAAAGAGGAATGGCTTCCCACTGCCAGAAGGCAAGGTTACATGGGATATTGGGAGGAAACTGTTCCCTGTGAGAGTGGTACAGGTTGCCCAGAGAAGCTGTGGCTACCCCTGGATCCCTGGAAGTGTCCAAAGTCAGGCTGGATGGGGCTTGGAGAAACCTGCCTATAGTAGGGACTGGAACATGGTGAGCTTTAAGGTCTTTTCCAACCCAAACCATTCTATGATTCTGTGTCTGAGGCCAGCTGAGGAAGAGAATGTCTGTGTCCCTCCTAGTGCAAGCAAACACCAAGACCCCCTGGTTGCAGGATCACGGAAACAGAAGTGAGGGAGGTGGAATTTGCCACAGCAATGTTTAAGTTTGTGCACTTGGAAACTAAAACCAACAATTTCTTCTGCAATCTGGAAAAAATCTCGGCATGTGAGGCAGTGCTGGTGAATCATAGGAAGGATATGAGCAGGACCTGGGCACTGCAGCACTGGAGATAAAGGAAATTCTGGAATGCACCAAGAATGTACATTTACTGTCAGGATGGGAAATGTCTAGTTTGTCACTAGGAGACTCACCTGGAGCACCCAGTGCCTGTGTGCAGGGTAGGATCTGGCCAGGAAGACAGGTGGAGGAGGTGATTAGACTGAGGAAAATCCTAGGGGAGCTTGTTTTGTCAAAAAAAAACACCAAAAGGCTCCTTGCTTGGATCAGCAGAGAGACCTGGGAGCAGGCAGTAAATATTAGGAGGGTGATAAAGGATGAAGAAAACCAGTATGAAGCTGGCAGGATAACAAATGGGTACAAAATGCTGAGCAGGGGGTAAAGCAGGGGGTAAAACTTGGAGAGAAAAGCCTGTCTCCTGTCCCTGTGGGAGAACTCCCATGTACCAGTTAAGTTTCTGTATGGATTAGGGAAATAGAAAGTTGGTGCTGCCAGCCGAAGCCCAGGCTTAGGGCACTGCCTGGACAAGGAACAGGGGAGACTCAGGAATTCCATCTGTGAGAAGAAGGGATGTCTTTGAGGCTTGGCGAGGGGAAGTGGGAGTGTTTGAGGAAGAGCAGTTTTAGGAACAGCCCCTCAGGGCCTGAGGGTCGGTAGGAGCTCTGACAATCCCCGGAGGGTCAGGTCTGCACAGCCGGGAGCACTCGCTACCTGCTGCCTCCACCCCTCCGATGGAATCAGTCTGCATCAACACCACCACCTCCAGCTCTTTCCTGTGAGGCTGAGCGCGTCGGCTACCAGCACCAATCCCGGACTGCAGCGGGATAAAGAGGAAAACTTCCTCTGGAGTGGGTGCTTCCTTGCCGATTTTAGCCAAGAGCTGTCACTGTCACAGCAGAGGCTCCCCCCATTCCTTCGTAGCCACGCTGCCAGCTTTAGCAGCCCCCCAGCTTCCGTGACAGGCTGGGGCTGCCTCCTCCACCCCTCCATTCCCGGCCTGCCGGCTTGTGCATTTTTCCCTGTTTTCTCACTCGGTTGGCCCATTGCCTTTAAAAGGCGAAATGCTCCAGACTAAATTTGGTCATGTAGCTCTGCACGGTTCCCTGGAATGTCCTCGGGTTTCAGGCTCCTCTGATAGCACCATTCCCCGCCTCCCGCCGGGCTCCATTGGCTTCCCAGCGCCCGAACCGCAACTGGATCCTGTTATTGGCCAACTCTTGGACCGAGGGGTGTCCCCTCTGGATAACTACCGTATCTCGGGCTGCAGAGCTGCTGAGATTTAACACTTCAGCACCTGCTGCCGCTCGGGAAGCAGACTTGGAGCTTCGGCTTCTTTTTTTTTCTCCTGCTTTGGGTACCACACAACCGCCACCGTGTCTCGCCAGCGAGCCAAGATGTCCAAAGTGGCCAAATATCGGCGACAAGTTAGTGAAGATCCAGATATAGACAATTTATTGTCTACTTTGTCTCCAGAGGAGATGGAGGAGCTGGAGAAGGAGCTGGATGTGGTGGATGCAGACGGGAGCATCCCTGTGGAGCGCAGTCAGACAAACCAATCAGAAAACTCCTCACTTGGCCCACAAAACTGTGACACGGCGCTCAACCACCACGACAAGGACACCAGGAGGCTCCTGCAGCGGGAGCACTCGATAGATGTAAGTCACATCCCCCAATGCTACTGCGGGAAAAGTGGGAACACATCTCAAACCCCCCATTCCCCCGAGCTGAGTGAGGGACGAGATGGAAAACACAAGAACCGAGAAAGGCATGCACTTGCTGAGGAGGAATAGCTGTCCTGGAGAGACCAGGGAGCTGGTCCTGGCACTCTGGGAGGGAGCAGGCTATCCCATAAAATCCTGGCAAAAAAATTACTAGCAAAGCCAAACCTGTGCTGGTGCCAGGGATTTTCTCCCTGTCCCTTCTCTAACATCTCTGGGCAGGGCTGGGAGCAGAGGTGGGTTTCACAGGAGGCTGCTGGAGGGGCCAGTGCAGTGACAGCAATGCCATGGGCTGTGGGGTTTTTTTGGTTTTGTTTTGGTTTGGTTTGGTTTGGTTTGGGTTTTTTGGTTTTTTTTTTTGTTTGTTTGTTTGTTTGTTTTTTTGGTTTTTTGTCCCCCCTCCTCCTTTGGAGATCTCTGGACTCTTGGTCCTTTCAGTTCTTCTTATGCAAAAGGTTAAGCAATCTCTGGTTCTTGTGGAATAAAAATGTTTCCTGCTCTGTGGAAATCACGTCAAGAAGCAGGTTTTACCCCGTGCCATTTGTTTTGCATTTTTTGTTCACTTAAAATTCCTTCTTTTAGTTTGATTTGAGTACATTTATCTTCCTCTCTTCACCTGGCAAATCCTTTAAGAGTTTGCTTGGAGCTCGACAGTTTCATGTCAGTCTTTCTCTTTGTGTTGTGCCTTAGCCAGTCCTACTTTTCTGCAACATTTATGAACCTCAGTACTAAGAATATTTGGTATGTGCTTTGTATGTAGAAGCCTGGGAAGTATCTGGTTTCCCTAGTCTTCATAGCAGGCTGAACCAAAAAATGAAAGACAGCGATTCTTCAGCAGTTGATCCATGTGGTCATGGTCTGGTTTCATGTCACAGGCAGGATTCACATCTGCTGTGCCAGGGCAGGGCTGGAGAGTGTTGGCAGCACAAGCAGTGCCAAGTATTATGTGGTACTGCTCTGCTCTGACTCTGATTCCAGATCTATTCCAGATCACCCAGCTGTACCCTGGGTCTTCCAGCTGGGTAATCAGTCTGTAACCACCCCAGAGCACTTGGAAATTTCTCTTTCTGCATATTTATGCAGCTTATATAGGAGGGTCCTGTCCTGACTGTGGTCTAGATACCCTTATTCCCTTCTAAATATTGGTATGAGTGGGAATGAAAATTGCACCAGTAGGAAAAATAACTGAAGCTTGATCTTGGAGAGCTGAACAAGGGGTTAAATTGTTCCTTCCCATCCCTGTCCTGGGCAGCCTAGGAGCACTCTCTGACTCTGAGGATAAGGAACAGCTTTTGACTTCTATATGTGGTGCTTGACATGGGCTGGGGGACAATGAGTGCTGTGCTCCTCACCACAAGGGCTCTGCCTTGATTTCCGCACCAGCAGAAAATTTCCTTTTGGTGGGGAAGTGCAGGTGCTGTAGGACAAACCTGCCTGGAGAGGGAAATGCTTTCATGTAGGACCAGTCATCCCAGTGACCACTGTTTTGCAGGTGATCCCAAGAGGTGACACTAAAAATCTGCTTTTTCAGGTGGTGGAACATTTGGGTTTGACATCACTTGTGTTGCTGTTTCAGTGTTAACAGTTGAAATATGAGGGGTTGATTGGGAATTGGCATAGTGTCCCTGACCAGGAGGAAGGGAGGAAATTTGTGAGTTTTGTTAAAAAGAGACCTGAGAAATTGCCTGGTTTAACATAGTGTTGTTTGGAAATGCCTGAGAATGTATGTGCAGTGGGAGAAGACTTGGGTTGTGGAAAGGGATGGCCTGGGGAGGAGAGCCACCTGGGTGAGGGTGTAGGGCTCTGGCTGGAGGGGAGGGCAGCACAAGGGTCCTGGAAAATCTCCTGCTGCCCTCTTAGTTAAGGAGGTTCAGGCCATGGAAGACAAAGCAAATTGGCAACAGGTCAAGTTTGTCAGTGGAAATGGCCCAGTTTGATTGTATTGCAGTAACTGGATAGGGCAGAACTGACTTTCTTCTATTTCAATCCCTGGAGGCCATGGAAAAAGTATATCCTACACCCTTTCCTCCCTGTCATTGTTAGGATCTGGGATTGTTTGGACCTAGAAAAAATGCCAGTTTACAGTGCTGCCACATCAGATCACACTGGTGGTGGAGTAGGGCTGTCTTCTACCGTGGAGCCCAAGGATGGGGTGGGGTGGGATGAGATCATCAGAAGACAGGAACGGTCACAAAAAACAGTGCAGGAAGCCAATGGTCCCCTCTGTCCAAGGAAGCCCCAGGGCTATGTTTTGCTGAAGTAGGGAATGAGAACATGAAGCCATCCAGGGCACCCCAGGCAGGTGCTGAACTCTCCCCCAACTTCTCAGAGCTCTGAGGTCTCTGATGACAAATCCTTCTCATGTGTCAGCAGATTTCATGTTGTGCCAGCCAGCACAGGCATGGTGGCTGCACTCCCACGGGGTTGGCATTCCCCCAGGGTGTGCAGGCATCACTCCATACATGTCCATCCCAGCTCCTCACATCAACAGCTCCCAGTATTCTGAAGCAGATCCAGAGGAGGTCACAGAGATGTTCTGAGGGCTGGACCTCCTCTAATCTGGAGACAGATTGGGAGAGCTGGGGGTGTCCAGCCCGGAGAAGAGAAGGCTCCAAGGAGATACCCTGAAGAGACATCACAGACACAGGATAACATCTTGTAGATGTTCACAGGTAATTCCCACTGGAGTTACCTCGTATTCCTTCCCTGACCTTGTGCCTGTGCTTCACCATCTCCCTCCCACCCCCTGCCCTGCTCACACATCTGCTTCTGGCTTATAAGGTTTCTCTTGATGCCTTAAATTAGGAATACCAGGTACTGTGTCTGTGATGTCTCTTCAGTAGGGAGGGAACTTGAACTACACAGAGTTTATCTGTACATAGTTCATGGAATCATGGAATGGTTTTGATAGAAAGGGACCTTAAGGTTCATGCCATTCTAACCCTGCCATGGGCAGGGACACCTTTCATTTTCCCTGTCTGCTGCAAGCCCCATCCAACCTGGTCTTGGACACTTTCAGGAATGGGCAGCCACAGCTTCTCTGGGCATCCTGTGCCGGGGCCTCACCACCCTCACAGGGAAGAATGCCTTCCCCATATCCTGTTTAACCCTGCCCTCTGGCAGTGAAAAGCCATTTTCCCTTGCCTTGCCTGTCAGTCTAGGCCCTTGTCCCAAGTCCCTCTCCAGCTCTCTTGGAGCCCCTTTAGGCACTGGAAGGGGCTCTGAGGTCCCCTTGGAGCCTTCTCTGCTCCAGGTGAACACCCCCAGCTCTCCCAATCTGTCTCCAGATCAGAGGGGCTCCAGCCCTCAGAGCATCTCTGTGGCCTCCTCTGGACTTGCTTCAGAAGCTTCATGTCCTTCTTATGTCCTCCCTGCTGTTCTTCCATACCTCCTGATGGGAATTTCTGTTGTGGGATATTGTGTGTTAGCTGGGATGTGCAGGAATCCCTCCAAAGTGCAAAATAATGTATTTTGAAGGGAAAGGTTGAGTTTCTGCCCATCTCACTGTTCTTGCCCTGTTTTTGGACTGGCTCCAGGCACCTACATTGCCACCTAAATACTGGGAGAAGTGGATATATTTAGAAATATTGTTAGCTACATAATAACACAACTTCTTAGTGAGGAAAAGGGCAAACTAGGGTAACTAGGAAGCAGATTATAAACAGCCCAAAATAGACTGAGCTTTGCCCCAACCTTTCCACACTGGGCAGCCAAATTCCCATTTTGGTAATGCAGTAACAAATTAATCTTAATTTTGTCTTGCTAATGAGTGGAAGTATAGCCCAGCTCAAGGGTGGGGCTGGGGCCAGTGCCCCTCTCTGGATGTACTCAACAAGATCCATGTGTCATGGAGGCTGGTCATAAGTAGATAAATGAAGAGATGATTTCTATTCACTCATGGCTCTTTACTGTCACAGGCAAAGGCATAACAAGAAAAAATCCAGTTAGAAACATGCTGTGAAGTTGGTGCTGTGGTATTAAACTGACAGAGGGCAGGGTTAGATGGGATATGGGGAAGACACTCTTCCCTATGAGGGTGGTGAGGCCCTGGCACAGGTTGCCCAGAGAAGCTGTGGCTGCCCCATGCCTGGAAATGTCCAAGGCCAGGTTGGACAGGGCTTGAAGCACCCTGGGATAGTGGAAGGTGTCCCTGCCCATGACAGGGAGTGGAACAGGATGATCTTTAAGGTCCTTTTCCACCCAAACCAATCTAGGATTCCATGAGTTACCTGGGGCACAACTGACTTGCTGTCACTTGAAATCATTGTATCATGCCTGGGATTTCTGTCCAGAAGAGGAAAGGATGTGTGTGCCAGGGCACAGAGGCTCTGTGCAGCTGTCCCTGTGGGATGGGTTTCTCTGAGAGATGAGCTGTGTGAGGAAATGGCATCTGTGGGAGCTGGTCTAGTTCCTCTATTGCTGGTGACATCTATAAAAACCATGTGTCTGTGCAGAGAGCACAGTTATGCCCTCCCTGAGAACACCCCATCCATGAAGTCTCTTCCATGATGGTCTTAAAGGGAATTTCCAAGCATAACCATTCCATTATTCCGTGATCTTTCCCACTGGCATTTGTTTAGCCCTGAACACTCTCAGGGAACCTTTGCCAGATGGGACCTAGATAAGAAGAGCTATCCCATGGGAAGGATCTCCATGTGAACTAGATGTGCCATGGGCTGGTGCTTTGTTGTACAAGTCCTCCTTGGCAGTTGCCAAGTCCACAACAGGAAGTTTTACTTTCCAAAGTATTCCACAAAATCCACCTGCAGCTGTTCTTGGCTTTCCTTGGATTCTCACCTGCCCCCTCACCACAATGTCCTGGTGACTCCCAAAACACCAAGCACCTGATGGCAGAGGCAGCCCCTCCTTGTGATTTCCCTTCTCTAGCATCACCATCTTCCCTGGAAATGGATGCAGCCTTCTTCCCTCAGCTCACA